GTAACCATTACTTTAAAAATTACTCAAAATCTTGATGTGCCAAGGGATCAGGAGTAACAGTACTTGTGCCAGTATTTAACAGAAGAAACAGCATGAGCATCTACCTGTTGGGGTCTCAGAGACACCCGTGTAGCCACACAGCACAAGGTGTTCACACCTACAATGGATTCCGTTTCCTGAAGAAGAGACAATGTTTATACTGGTTTAGCAATCTGAGTGCATGTGGAAATGAAATTACTTCACAATGGAAGCACTTCCTGAGAGAGAAAAGGACAAAAAGAATCTATACCCAACAAATCCCCCATTCTTGTCGATTTAGAATGTTCTAACATGCCAGTGAACCTTGCCGAAGAGCTTGAAAGAGTTCTAATATTCCAAGCCTCCTGCAAGGATCAAAACAAAGTACTCTTTCCCCTTCACTCAAGGACTCTGTGATTCACACCAAATTTCTCTACTGTCTCTTTTGTGTGAGAATTGACAATTTTGCACAAATTAGACAATTTTGTGATCATCCATCATTCTCACCAACCAAGAGCTCAGAGTGCTTGTCCTCATTGGTAAGGGAAATAGCATTACAGTTTCTCATTGTTCTGTGAGAAGACAAGGGAGTTTTTACATCCCTACAGGTGGGATGGGTGTCTGGTTCTTTAGCCACATTTTTGTAATGAGTGCATGGATGAGGAGTTTGCCTAGATGGGTCTTTTAATTTCCATTGTCAAACATGTGGTTCTTGACCATGTAAAGCTTTTTAACCTGATCTGAGTTGTCGGAATAAATATTTTTAATGAAAACAATAAATGAACCTTAACGTGCCAGCATAGCTGCATCTCATTAGGCCCAATTGTTTAGCACAAAGGTTTGGACTAGAATCTTCAGGTGTGTTCTCTTAAAGAAGTGTTTCCCATTACCTACTCCTACCTGAGCTATGGGACGTGGGGGCACTGTGGACTAAACCACAGAAGCCTCTGTGCTGCAGGGTCAGAAGACCAGCAGTCATAAGATCGAATCCACACGACGGAGTGAGCTCCCGTCGCTTTGTCCCAGCTCCTCGCCAAACTAGCATTTCGAAAGCATGCAAATGCGAGTAGATAAATAGGTACCATCTCGGTGGGAAGGTAAAACGGCGTTCCCTAGTCACACTGGCCACGTGACAATGGAAACTGTCTTCAGACAAGCGCTGGTTCTATGGCTTGAAAAGCGGGATGAGCGCCGCCCCCTAGAGTCGGACCCGACTGGACTAAAAATGTCAAGGGGAACCTTTACTCCTACCTGAAGCTTTATGGGTTCATTACCCCCAAAATTATTTATATTAATTAATTAATTGCATTTATTTCCTGCCCAACTTGTGGCAAGCCCCTAATAACAAATGAGAAGACATACCCACCCACAAACTCAAAATACCCAAATCATAAAGACCACCCCCAAAATTCAAACACAATCACATGGTTCAGCAGGAATATCATGGGGGAAGATGTTCCTAAAGGCCTCCTTAATGACCTCAGATTTCACACATTTCCTGAAGGTTAAGAGGGAGGAAGCCTGGAATACACATCCACAGGCAACACATTCTATAGAATTGGGGCCACTATTGAAAAGGCTCAGTTCCTAGTGATAGCTTCCCAAGCCCTTCTTGGAAGGACCATCTGCAACTGCAAAGCCTGAGAAGACTGGGTGGCCCGGGTAGACAATTGCAGGGAAAGATACTCTGATAGGTAGCGGGGTCCCAAACTGTTAAGGGCTTTCTAAGTTAGTATTAGCACATTGAATTGGGCACAGAAGCAAACAGGAAGCCAATGCATGCCTGCGAGGATGGGGGGAGACATGACCATATCTCCAAGCTCCTGATTCTAGCCTAGCTTTGGCTTTTGGCATCTTCTGTAGATTCTGTGTTGCCTTCAAAGCCCACCTCACATAGAGAGAATTGCAGTAATCAATCCCAGAGATCACCTGAGGTTTAGTTCATTCTACTGTAATAGACAGAATATCTTTTAGGGGGAGGCAATGTTTGGCCTTCAGGGAAATGTTGGACTGCAGCTCCCATCAACCCTCATCAGCTGTTCCTAGTTGTGCTCACTTTTCATCTCCATGGTAATGCGCCCTCTCAGTCAGTCCTTAATCCCCCCTTTCTTCTTAAACTGTTTCACACACACACTCTCTCTCTTACCAGTTTCTCATTTCTCCATCCATTGTTTGAATTCTCCCCTTCCCTCCCTCCTGCTCTTGCCTCAGTGTGGAGGACCAGAGGCAACACAACACAGCCCTTGAAGCATGCGGCCACAATTAACAAGACAGAACTCACTGACCGAAGGGGGGAAAAATGCCATTTTGCTCATTGCATTGCAAAAATTAACCAGTGGAGCTGACAGGTCAAACTCTAGCATGTTTGTTCCAAGCCTTGCACGTTGCTCATCCGTGACCTACTAATGCTGCTCATGACTTACACACCTGAAGAATGAATCAAGTTCAAGAATCTCAGCATTCACTGAGGGCTTTGCTTATGACAAATATTCACAGACAGGAGAAGTGACTTGAAGTTCCTGTTTCACACTTCCTGAATTCACACACCCCTTCCATGGAAATCTCCCTGTGGGGCTGCTCCTACTCCCTCCATCATCATGTGGAGCTGTGGTGGCCAGAACTCTTCTAAGTGAAATGTACTCTGTCACTGTGTTTTTTCATAACTGCTCAGCAACACTTACTTGTGACCACTTCTTCCTTCACCAAAACTGTCTTCAAACATTCTTATTTATGAATGGGTGGTAGACCACCCACTCTGGGTGGTCTACAACAAAACAGCAGCATAATTAAAATACCATTCTCCCATCTTTTTCCTCCTTCCCTACCTGACAGCTCTTCTTGCCTTCAGCTTTCAATCTGATTACTAAACTTTCATTCTCCTTCTTTTCAGGCTAGCCTACCATGCTTGGCTATGTTAGATCATCTTAGATACCATCAGGTCAGAACCACCATATAGTGACCCTAATAGAGGTTTCAAAATAAGTGAGATATTTAAGGAGTGGCTTTACCAGTTCAACCCTCACAGTGACCCTCCATGGCTGGGGTGGGGGTAGGAGTTTCAAACCAAAGTCTCCTAAATCCTAGGACATCGCTCTATCCACAACACTACACTAGCTGCCATGCTTGGCTACTTTTGCAGTAACCTCTGTCATACACCTCTGTTTGCTGGCCAAAGCATCCAGGACCTCCATGTGGTTCATAAGCCACAACTAGTCATCACTGTCCCTGTTCCAGAATTTGTATTTATTGATCCTGTCACTTGCCGGAACTGAAAAGTCATCAGCAGTGGCTCATAGCAAAAGGTGGCCACAGCTAACACTAGGTGGTGCAGCAAGCCAATGCACTAGAGATACAGCCCCTGGATAATATCCAACACGGGTCACTGCTCAGATGAGCCGATCTGTGCAGTGGACATAATCCCTAGCAATTCCACATGCTCATTATGGTCCATCGTGCTACTTGGTGCTGCTGTCAGATCCAGTCAAATGAATAAATTGCCTGGACATCAGCAGAACTCAGCAGTGGAGAGGGGCACACATTCCCACATCTCATATGCTGATTGCATTTAGCCACAGTTAAGAATTAATACTATAATGGCAATAAAAGGATGATAACAACTGTAAACATTTCAGGCAACATATTCAGGAGGAGGGGAGAGGAGACATTCTAATGATGTTCTGCAGTTCCGATAACTATCACTGTAATTGTGCATAGACCAGTGATTCCCCTGATATTCATGTGCTCTGTATGGCACATGCATATGTTGGAATTATCATTCTGTTCACCAGTTTACAATGTTTACATAACCTTAGTGCATGAGCTGGATCTTCTTAGGCAGCTTGTGTGTATTTGCAGGGTTGTAAGTGCAACCCAATCTCAAGCATCTTTCTCTACCTCCCATTTCCTCTTTATCAATACCATTTTCTACATCCGACTGTACAGGAAAGGGCTTACATTCCATATAGGTTATCAGCCCCCACAGGGACGCACCAACCCTATACACACAAAGAGGACCACTCAAGTTGGAATTGTCAGCTTCATACGGATGCAAGCACAACAGGTAGGGGAACGTCTCACAATGTCTGTCCATTCGCCTGCCTTCTCTTCTCCCCTCACTATAAACCAGAGAATAAAATGTCACTCACCAGTTTTGTAGTTGTGAGGTTGAAGAGGAGCACCTTGTTGGTGGTTGTCCACTGTTTTCATTCAATAAAATCACATGGGTCTCTCTCTCTCTCTCTCTTCCTCTTGTGCGTTCTTGTGTGCTTAAGCAGAAGGAGAGTGCAATCCTCTTCCCTACACCGAGCCAGTAATCAAAGCAACAACAAATACTCACTATGAGCCATTGCTGAAGTTGAAGAGCCCGGGTGGTAAAGCTTTATGCAAAACATAAAGCCAGCAAAAAGAACATAAAAATCTCTAGCAGCAGAATGAGTCAATGTTGAAATAAACACAAGTGCAGTCTTTCTACACTTTGTGCCCTCTTAGCAATGTAGCTAACACCTGCTATCAAAGAGTCTTATTTGTGTTGTCAAGGAAGCTCCTGGCTATATGATGCTGTATATGCTATTATCCTGTTCTCTCTCCCTCTCCCTCTCTCTGTCAGAACTGATCAACCCAGCAAGCGAGGAGTAGGGGCAAGGGAAGGAGGAGAAAAAGTAATTGTTGTCCAGAATAAAGAAAAACGGTGTGGTAGGCAACTGCCACTCAACGCTGATCAAACAGACATTAGGGCAACCATTTAAGAAGAAGAAGAAAAGAAAACAAGCTCAATTAGTTTTATATGGAATCCATAAGAGAGAATCAAATCCAAGCTTAGTCCCGTGTTTGGTCCTGGAGTTCACAATCACATCTGATGAAGCAACCTCCCAGTTGCCAAGATTGCAGCCCAACTGTCCACAATCACAGCAACAAAAGCAACAGTCTTATCCACAGCTCTAAGGCACCTGCAAGCTCCAAGCTCCCAGGTAGCACTAAAAAGGTAAATGTTCAAAAGGTGAGGAAATCTGTTCAGATCAACAAAAGCAACGCCGCTCCATCTATGCATGTATATAATGCAGTAGCTGCATATCTTAAATAGGGAACAAAAAGCTTGCCTGAAATGTGCAATTTGAAGCAAGCCATCAAAAAGACTTTCCCAGTTGAAACAGGATTACAAAAGCACAGAGGGCTAAAAATACATTGCTGCAAGTTTCTTTCTTTTCAGTCCAAGATAGGTATGATCAAATGTCCTACTACACATTCCCCGTTCACTGCTGCCAACCACAGGAGTCCTATTAAGCATCTAGCAACAGAATAAAATTAAGAGAGCCTTCAGGATATGGCTCTCAGATCCTGCCATTTTCAATTGTCTGCAACATTGTTTATAATGCTCCTGTGTATTTTCTGGAACTCGGTTATGCAAGACAATGAATGCAGCCTCAGTTATGTGGAGTCATTCAGATAAGGGCTGAGATCCTACAAAATAGGAGCCCCATCACACATATATATGTGTGAATGAATTATATATCTTGTCATGTCAAATTCTTATATCACAGTCCTCAGAGACAGTGAAAGAGGAGTATTCTGTTAATATTTTTGAATATCAGGGGAATCCTAATTTGGATTGGGAAATCTGAGAATGGGGTTGGGGTGGCATTTATTTTCACTTGCAAATGTTCTCATTCACACATGGATAAAAACTTGTAGGTGTCCCCAGTGTATCTAGAAAAACAAATCATCCATGGAGGCAAGTTTCAATAAAATGCGGATATTCACTTTGGAACAAGAATAGTTATGGTCAAAACATGGGCATTTGAACTTACCATATTTGTTTACAAAAGGAAATGACTGAATATAATCAACCTCCTAAAAGTGAATCATCACATTATTCTTAATAGTGATGCAACAAGAAGAAATTGGGGAGCAGAGATTTATCATTACAGAGAGAGACAGACAGACAGAAAGATGTCAAGGCATGGTTTGGGAGGCTGAAGACCAACAAAGTGTCCTTTGGTTTCATTAGTCAAGCGAGGAGAAGCAAGAGGCAACATGGATAGCCTGGGGGCAATTTTAACCGAAGAGGGGAGAAAGTCAATATTATAGACTTTCAATAGTATACCATTACAGAGAAAGGGGACAAAAGGCAATGCACTACTTACTTAAAAGGTCTCCCTGATTTTGGCTGCTAAGCAGAGTCAAGCCTGGTTAGAACATGGATGGGAGAACATCAGAACATACAGATTTGCAGGTAGTGGAAGGAAAGAATCCAGGCTGAAATTCTGGAAACTCTACGGTCCAGAATAAGCAATACTGGACAAGAAAAGTGGATTGAGTCTGTATAAGGCAGATTTTTGTATTCTAGGTTTACTTCCTGGTTAGACATGACTGTCTGGGAATTCAACATGGAAAACAGGCTATACTCAACTCCATCAGCTTTGAGACACACAAGAGGTAGTCTCCTCAGATCAGAATACATTGTCACTTTAAGTCCTGAGCAGGGCAGGTAGATTCAGGTTACAATGGAGAGAGAACTGTTAGATACGTGTTTACTTGAGACCCTAGATCTCACATACAAAGGCTGGAAGACAGAATTTGAAATGGAGAGCCCTGAAGCAAGATTATTCTTTAGATCACTCTTACTCTAGGCAAGAAAAATGACAAACATGGAAGGAGGAAAGGAAATTGGGGGAAGAAGGCAAGCAAGTGTGTGTGTATGTTTGTACAGTATGGATGTTTTTTAGCTGAGAGTGGTGGCAACAGCAGTGCAATACATCTGGTGAAAGTGACCTGGGTGGGGCCGGTTGCCTGAGCACAATGTACCCAATTTCCAACTTGACCACCTGATGATTAGACTGTGGTGCTTACAGTAAGCATCTCGTAACAGTGGCACAGCAATCCTTCCCACTCCTGATATTCTGAGTAAGGTAAAGGTAAAGGTTCCCCTTGACAATTTTTTTGTCTAGTCATGTTCGACTCTAGGGGCAGTGCTATCCCCGTAGAGCCAGCGTTTTGTCTGAAGACAATCTTCCGTGGCCACATGGCCAGTGCGACTTAGACATGGAATGCTGTTACCTTCCCACCGAGGTGGTCCGGGGTGTTAATCCATTTTCCTACAACAGCCATCCAATGAGAAATATCCAGACACTATTGTTAGATGTTTTGTAAAGGTGTGCACTGTGCTGGTGGGGAAAAAATGTCCAGTTTTCAATGCCTGACTTTTGCCCAGTTGCCTGTTTTTGTTTTTG